CATACATAAACACAATACGTACATACACTTACTCAGGAAACATCATACATAACACATCACATTTGCATGGATATTGATATTGTGTATAATGACTTGGAAAGTATCGTGGTATATTTCATGTGCACATAAACCTCGCCTCATTTCTCCCTTGCCCAAGAAAGAGAAAGGAAGCATGTCTTTCGTCTGCGAAATCTGCGACAAAGAGTTTGCTCGTAAGTTTAACCTTGATCGTCACCAGGAAAGAAAACACCGAGACGAGTCGGCTGTTGCCTCGGGGGAAGTCGTCGTAGATCCCGAGACAGGATCTTACCGAAAGCGCGATGTTTTTGACGACTCCGACATATCGTATGAACATGACACTGACGCGCTTGGTTCATCAAGCGATGAGGAAGACGAAGAGGACGAGGAACCGACCGTGTCACAAGATGAAGTAACCGTCTCAGACGAAGATGAATCTGTGGTGGACTCTGAGGAGGCAGAGTCAGTGACAGAAACCGACAGCGATGAAAGTGATTCTGAGAGTGATGCAGACTCGGACGTTTCTTCCAACACGGCTTCTTATGATGAAAGTGAAGAGTACGGCTACGACAGCGGTGACGAGGAAGAGTGGACGCTCTATCGAGACTGGTCCATTCCACTCAAGCACGAACCGGGCGATGTCCCTCAACGCGTGATCAAAGAGACAAAACGCGCTGGCAAAAAGTTTTACCTTGTAGAGTTTGCTGCCATGCCTCGTTACGGTTACAATATCGAGTACAGCAAGAACTGGGTCCCAGAGCAGAAATTGATGACAAAATACGGCTACCTCGTTCTGAAATAATACAGCGACAACTAGTCCTAATGTAACAGCGATACCTACATGACAAGACGTACGCTGTCTTGCGCGTTTTTCGGAACAGTCTTGACCTGTAAGTGATCAATAAAGTGTGACGAACCCTACTGCCTTTTGCGTCGTTGTGTCGATGTATGCACGCATGAGACACAAACATACGTGACATAGATATGAACCACTAGTTCACTTACTCCGGAGTAATCATTTACTCCGACGGTTATGTATATTCATATACGATATATCTACACATCGATATCATACATGTGAGAATACATGATACGGACAACCATGCCAAATATACTTAACTTGCTACAAATGAACTTACTCCGGAGTAAAATTTTTACTCCAAAAATACTTACTCCGGAGTAATATTTTACTCCGGAGCAACAGGTTTATATCGATATATGTATATGTAGGTGCACACACACACACACACACACACATACACAAACACACACAGACACATGCGCGCGCGCGCGCCCACTCCGACGGTTAGGTATATGCATAATATACGATATATCTACGCATCATACATGTGAGGATACACGATACGGACATCCATGGCA